ATTAGAAGATGAAAAATAATTAGTCTCATAGCTTTGAAGACACTATTTCCTTCTTGCATCTAATGTGGCTGATGAAATATCAGATATCAAAGTTAATATCCTTCTGGAATTTTTAAAAATTTTCTCTTCATCCTTGGTCTTATGAAATTTATGCAAATCTTTTTATCTTGCTTGGCACTTTTAACGGCTCATGACCCTTTAAATCTGAGAACTAATACCTGCTAACTTTCCTTTCACAATTTTGATCTCATTTTTGTTTTATTCTATATTCTGGATGAATTCTTGAATTAATATTTCATCTTACCCAGTGTATTATTCTCATTTTGATTTTCAGTGTGTCCTTCAAGTTTTCCTTTATTTCATCTGTCACACATTTAGTTTAGCAAATATCTAGCTAACTCTAAGTATGGCTGCAATATCTTCTCATGTCACTCCAGAGACGAATTATATTTTATGTCCTATGTAACTTAATGTTTCCTTGACTTGCAAATTTCTTCTCATTGTTGTGCTTGATGCTTTTTCTTTCAAATATTCACCTTTTTCAAATGATTGGTAAGTTTTGGTTATATATTCATCTTTGAATTTGAGATTCACTACTGGCCTACTTACAGAGACATACCTTACTTTATTGTGCTTTGCAGGTAGTGCATTTTTGTTTTGCTTTGTTTTACAAATTGATGGTTTGTAGCAACCCTGCATCAAACAATCTATTGGTGCCATTTTTTTTTTCAATACCATTTGCCCACCTTGTGTCTCTGTCACATTTTGGTAATTCTTGCAATATTTCAAACTTTTTCATTATATTTGTTATGGTAATCCATGATCAGTGATTATGATTCATTGGAAAATTAGCAATAAATTATTTTTAAATTAAGGTATACACATTGGTTTTTAGATATAATGCTATTGCACACTTAGGAGACTACAATCTTCTCAGGGCTCTCTCCTGATCCTGGCGTATGAAACTTTTGTGGCAGTCCAGACACAAATTCATCTTGGACTGGAGTTTTCAAGTTTAATCTCATCCCTTCTGATATTAGTCTTTGGATTTTCTCACATTCTCTGTTTTAAGGAAATGCTTCTTTTCTGTCATGGCAATGAAGTTTTATAAATCTCCTTCCAGACATTTCTGTGGACTTATTTTAGAGGGAAGGCTAAAATGTGTGCCAAGTCCACCATTTTGAACAAATTCCATAGCTTTTCTTATTTATCATCAGCTTCCTACTTTCTGCTGTTAACATCTTGTTATTCCTTTATATTGTGAGTCACTTGTTTATCTTTTATCACTAGATACTGATAAACAAAAGTTTCTCATAGACTGGCTTTAGGATCCTGGACAATTTTTTAACTTTCTACTCATCTATAGGCAGAATTTAGTCATCTGTAAAGTGGGATATTAATAGCACAAATTTCTTAGGGTTTGCGAGGATTAAGCGTAAAAACATATGCAGGCACTTGGTAGTTCCCTTAATCTGTTTCTTTCATTATTTGTTTCGGGAGAAATATGTGAAATAAAACCATTCAGTCTCCATACAAACTCTTTGTGTCCACCTTATTTCAAGAAGATTCACAGCAAAAGACAGAAATACTATCATTTCAACTACTGCCCATCAGGGCATCCAGAAAATTTTTTTCAGTATCAATCACAGATCCTAGGACTGTTGAATTCTGCTGATTTTCTATGGTTTGTAATGACTTTTACAACTGCATCTGCAATCTCTATTACTCTCCAGGGGCAAGTTGACCTTACAGAAACACATTATCCAGGACTCTTCCAGTTGTAGTTTCCAACTCATGCTAGTAGTTTCCGTGACAGCTGAAGGAAAAAGAGAAAGGAAACTGAATGACTCATCTAGAGGGTCAAATAAGGAAAGCCAACTCTCTAAACCTCTAGGTCTACTGTCCTCTTTCCTTGGATCCATTCTCAGACTGATCCTTTTCACACTGTAGTCCCAAGAAGCTTAAGCCATACATGGTCTTCAGTGTTCAAGATCTCTCAGTGAGAGATCCAGAGTTTATAGGTCACAGAAAAAACTCCAAAAATAACAATCCCGATAGACTCTGCTAGGACCAACCACTTAAGCGTGGGGGACAGTGCTTTAATGGATGAGTAGGATCCAAAGAGAGGCAGAACCACATGGTTGACAGTTCCATTAGTATGATATAAAGTGCAGTAAGTGCAGTTCTCTAGGAAAAGAGGGGCTCTGTTACTAGAAGGGGGGAGTATTGGTCAGGGCAGAAACAACAGATGTTTAATACAGAAGGCAGTACAGTTGAAGGCAGGTAAGAGAGGGAGTCATATTTCTTGTCATTAATTCTTTATCTCTAGGGAAGCTTTATCTGAAAGTTTGCTTTATCCCCATGAGTCATATAAGTTACTTATTTAACCATTCATTTATTTAGTCTCAATCATGTACTGCATTGCCTGCAGATGCAGACTTGGAAGTAACTGGGAATCCATGGATGGTCTCTCAGCTCTGAAGCTCTGGCATTGTTTATAAGTGATAAAGATATATTCCCTGTCCTCATGAAATACATAATTTAGTTTCCGTGTTATCTATGTTATCAGACACATATAGAATTATTTCTAATACAATATTACATTACAGTCATATGAAAATAGTGCCATGAGTGCACAGGAGAGGGCGTGGTTGAGTATACCTATATAGATCTGGGAGTTGAAGGAGGACAGTTCTCTTTAATTAGAGAATGCTAGGAAGGGTTTTCTACCCATTAAAAAGGAACAGCTTGGATGATGGATTTAAGGCAGGAATATATAGTCAATATGATCCTTACCTAGTTCTGGAAGTGGGAAACCCATCAAAGGGACACTTTTAGAGCCTAATTTAGTATGAGATCTAGAAGTTTAGGCTACGCAGGCAGGCCCCTGGTTTCATTTCTAAGTTATTTCTATACAAGTTTATCTCTTTAGTTGGATTATAAATACTTTCTGGTCAGAGACCAAATCTTTTTCTTCCTTGTTTTTCTAAGTGTGCCAAGCCCTTTGCAGGAGCCACGTGGATCAGTATCATTGTTCATGTTCCAAAAGAGCAAATCTTTCCTGGCAACACAAAGATACAACTATTAACATGTGCCCATACTCTGTTCTCTTTTAAAACTTCAGTCATCGATAGGTAATAATAAAAACTATAATCTTCGTCCCTAAATTTTTCATTTCTGAGTTATAACATGAAAATACTTTGTGATACACTCTCATGGGCTTTTGCAGACTTGATGAATCTTGGAGTCTTTCTGTAATAATCATGGATATGTTCTCCTGAGAGAGAACATGTCCTTACTACATGCCATGCCATTCTACACATAAAGAGCTCTGTAATTCCAAACAGGTGACTGTCAGCCACTGTTGCATCTAGCTTTCTCCCTGGCAAATGTAAGAGGAGTCTTTATTTCATTCAACATGTACAGAATGAACCAATATATAATGGGCATTTTCTAGATCCTGTGGGTAAAACAACTAGTGAGCAACACAAGACCCTTACAGTTAGGGAGCTTAGAATCTAGCATTAAGTAGAACAGGTAAAAATCACATGTAAAACTAACTTAATGAGATCATCTTGGATAGTGATACATAGTCACATAAAAAGGGAACATGATAAAGATAAAGAGAGATGGAGGGACCTACATCTAGATTGTGTGGTCAGGAAGAATTATCTCTTAGGAGACACTTGCCCTGAGGCTGGATTTAGAATTTAGAATCCACTGAAAGATTTTTATCTAAGGGTGTGAAATAATCCAACTTGCAGTTTCAAAAGATCAGTCTGGCTGCTGTGTAGAGAATGCCTTACAGAGGTTCCCAGATTATAAGCAGAAAGACCAGTTGTTGCCTACCTCTGGGAGAGAGGAGGTATAGCCTGAATCAGGATGGCAGGAATGAAAGTAGAGGAGAGAGATTGTCTACAGATTAGAAAATATGGCAGGACTTGGAACGAAATGGATGAATAAAGGATAGCTCCTGACCACTGTGTGGGTCTTGCTAACATTTTTTGAACTGGAGAAGACGAGGGACAAATGTGTTTTGGAATATAAATCAAGAATTCTACTTTCATCATGGTGAGTTTGAGATACCGCCTAGACAGGAACATAGAGAGTTAAGTAGGCAATTGGATATGCAATTCCCAAATGCAATAGAGAGATCAGAGTTGGAGACAAATATTTAGAAGTCAGTGAAACTACAGGCGGTATTTAAACCAAAGGGTGGATATCACCCAGAATGAGACTATAGAGCAAAGCAGGTGAATAGGATTGAACCCCAGGGTATTCCAAATGTAGAGGCCAAGTAGCAGAGGTAGAATGGCCAAAGGAGAGGGGAAAGAAGTCTCTAGGCAGGCAAGAGGAAAACACTGAAAGAGTCATGTCACACAAAGGAAAGTGAGGGTCTGAATAAAGAAGGCATATTCAACTTAAATGCCACCGAGAGGCTGAATTGGATGAACACAGACAAGTGGCCATTATATTTGACAACACAAAGGTGACCTTAACAGGTGCAGCAGAGAACATAAGCCAACGTGGAATGTGTTGTAACAGAGAATAGGAGGCAATGAGGACAGTGAATATAGAATCACATTTTCAAGAAGGTTTTGTTCAAAGGGGAGATGTGTGACAGTAACTGAAGAGAAATGTAATATCAGGGATCTATAGAGTTTTTTAGATATATGTTTTAAATTTTTTTTTTAAAGATAGAGAGTATTATTAGAGCATGGTCTTGTTTCCTAAAGAAATGACCCAGTAAAAAGGAGTAGGCTGATGACTATAACAGTTAACTTATTGTCTCTCAGCTCCAAACTCGCCCTTCAATATATTCTCTGAAATAATGGACTGAATTCTCTTAGGCATCTCTTCTGCACATTGTCAAACGTTCTCAGTAGAGGGCACTGGAGGGACGTTACAGGAGGAAGGAGCTGTGCTGCTCTGTCCAGTGGCTCTGCAGTGGGTTGGTGTTGTGGGTATGGGGCTATCTGGTGGAGCTCCTCCCATCTAACCTGTCCATCATTTGGTGACCTTGCAGCCTTGTCCTGGACTAGTGATAATATTCCCTGGCCTTTGCAACAGGGAAAAGTCTCTACAAAGCTTCCTGCCTGTGAAGGCCTCCTGTTTGCTTGGGCACCCATTCCCTCGGCAGGCCTCTTGCAGAGTTTGCCTGCGTCCCAAGTGCCCGCCCCCTCTGCATGCCTGTGCCCCTGCTTGCCAATCACCTGCACCCTGCCCACACCACAGAGGATGTTTTTTGCTTGCCCAGCAACTGCACACCAGCTGTGGCCTGGACCAACCATCAACCTCTGCTACTTTCACCAACACGGTCTGACCCTCTGCCTTGGGAGGGCCCCTTCCATGTTGCTCCTTCCTTGGATTCCCTCCCTCTACCATAAGTGTACCACATGGTTTCCTTATATATTACAATCACTCCTTTATCAAGGGCTTAATAATTCTATGAGACTTCCTTGGTTTAGTTCACAGTGTGGTTTCTACCTTCTAATTGGATCCAGAGTGATACAATGACGAGAAATCATAACTGCAGGATTTCAGCAATACCTGGTACATAGAATATACCAGTTTTTGAAACATTCTCCTTGGCAAGATCCTCATTTATGTAAAAAACACTCACCTTCTTAGTTTCTTCTCAGTATATTTTTTAACATTCTTGCCTCTTGATAATGGTTTTCCTTGGAAACATTTACCTCTTTGTTTCTTTTAGGAGTATTTATCCATCTGTAAGAATCCATCCTGCCCAAAAGGCTGAGTGCCAGGTGTTTTCACTTTTTCCTCCTGTTAGAAAACCAACTTGCATTTGCTGTGTACACACTTGGCAATCATCTCAGACGGAAAATGACCAAACCAAATGTCAAGGAGACATAGAGACCGTTACCTCTGTGTTTATGATGATTCAGTTTTTGGAAGAACCAGAAGTGCTAACTTCTGAGAGCTATTCTGAATGTATGATCCAGCTGAGCCTATACTTTCTCTTAGGATTTATACATTCATACATCTCTTGGGATATATAAAAACATATTTCTCTTTCTTTTCTTAAAAACTCTAGGACACATTTTAATTTTTAATCTCTGTTCTAAAATTATAGCCCTCTGTGTGTCTTTTTAAAAAATCTGTCCCTTTAGCAAGACCTCCAATGCCCCTTATCCATTCTCCCTCCAGCTGAAGAGTGGTCATGGAAAGTCACTTCATTAACAGAACACATGCTGTGCTGGGTTTCCTTGGTTTCACAACTCTTGTTCATTCTGACCTTAGCAACTACAAGAGTCTAGAGTGATGCCCAGGTTCAGGTAACCAGTCCCTCCCTCCCTTGCATTCTCCTCCTCTTATTCTCCCACTCCTTCTATTTTCTCCTCCCTCGACTGCCTTCCCATTGTAATTAGGATAAAATTCAAACTCCTTGCTGTAGGCTACACAGGCCATACATGATCTGGCCCCTGCCTTCCTCTAATTCCTCCCTCCATATTTCCTGCATTGACAATACTCCAGGCATAATGATCTCCTGTTCCTTAAATAAACCAAGCCCCATCATATCTCAGAGGTTTTGCAATCGTCATTTTTTTCTGTCTCTTTCTCTCATGGATGACTCCTTTCTACTAGTTTGATCTCATTTGAAATGCCTTCCTCTCTGGGATGCCTTCTCAACTATACTTGTCACCTCCATCACCAGCATGCCATCACTGCCCACTATATTACATCATACACTTTGTTGATACTACTTTAGCAGGTTGGAATTTATATCTTTATCTTTTTTATTACAGTGTAAATTCTTTGATGGCAGAGAATTCATGTGTCTTTTTGACCACTTTATCTCTAAAGACTAGAACAGTTCCTGGCACATAATAAATATTTTTTGACCATCTGAATGTTTACCGGGCACTGAACCATGAACATGGCAAATAAGTAGAAAATTTATTATCCCTTACCCAGAGGAAACTGGATAAATAGATTATGTTTCTATTATAACTGTTCTTTCTTAGAAGCATCAAGAGTAGGTCAGAGGCCCGGTGGCATCTGGGGCATGGTTTAGAGTGAAAAATTAAGGAAGAATAGGATGCCAGATTGTTTTATAATAATTATACTGCCCCTTTCAACTGAAATTCTATCAGTCATTCTTGTTTGGTCAAGTTTTGGGAAGGTCTGTTAAAATGCAAGAGAAAGAGATTAAAATGTTAACCTGCATGTGTAGATAAGAGAAACCAATGTTGATTACATCATGGTTTTCCAACATGTTTTAAGCAGTGGAGCTTTCTTCAAATCAAAAGCCCTCCCACAAGTTCAACACACCTATAGGTTAACCTGGCTGATAGCTTGGCTGAAATGGTGCAGCAGAACTTGTACCCTGCCCACCAGGCACCTAAGTCCTGCCCTCCAGGCAGTACCTGAAGTACCACCTACAGCACCCAGATCTGCACAGAGCAAGGTTTGAAAAAATATCACAAGTCTTTTTTTTTTTTTTAAAGATTTTATTTATTTATTTGAGAGAGAGAGAGAATGAGAGATAGAAAGCACGAGAGGGAAGAGGGTCAGAGGGAGAAGCAGACTCCCTGCTGAGCAGGAAGCCCGATGTGGGACTCGATGTGGGACTCGATCCTGGGACTCCAGGATCATGACCTGAGCTGAAGGCAGTCGCTTAACCAACTGAGCCGCCCAGGCGCCCCAAAATATCACAAGTCTTAAACTGAGTCCTTAATTTGGGAAATAGGCCCAGAGATCTGAAGTGCTTTATCCAGAGTTGTAAAATTACTGTCAACAAAAGGACTGAAGCTCAGCTTCTTGAATTCTAGGGAACTGTGTCTTTACCTGTACTGTTCTATATTCCTGGAGGATAAATTCTATCAAATCAGATTAGCTTCCAGCAGTGGGAGTTCTTAAAGGGAGAGAAAAGTCAGAGATTTTCAGTATCCAGGGAGCCTTGCTTAGAATTTTGTTGCTCTGCTAGGACTGCAGACATGGAGAACTGCCTTACAGGACTGCTCTTGCCACTTGGAAATCATCTTGAGCTTGTCTTTAGCAGCAGAAACAAGAAAATGGGACTGCTTTCTCCAAATATTTTAAAATAACTTTATTGCACTGGATTTCCATGAACCAGAGACAACTTTTAACCATTAGGTCTTGACTTCTCATTTGTTAAGAGTAGCAGGACTCTGATCAAGAAGTGTAGGTCCTTTTCATGGGCACTTTTAGTTTTTATTCTTAAGTGGAGGCCCAGTTAGAAATAATTTATTTGGTTGAATTGGTGGTTTATGGATTAGCCATAGTGCAGATTCTCTCATGCTAATTGGGAGTTCAGAGCCAAACACAGGAACTGGCATGGTAGCAAACACTTTATAAATGTTTTTAATTAAGTGAATGGATTTCAGAGGTGTTATCTAGCAAATATAGTTTAGCAATATACTAACTTGATTTCTGACTACAGATTGAGGTGGGTGGACATTATTTGCGCCATATGCAATTGTTATATCCCAGGCATCAATGATGCCCACATTGAGGTCTTGAAAAATATCCTTAATGGCAAGATACTGGACATAACCATGAAAGTCACTGAATCTTTCCACATCACCGTGCATCTCCCCGATGTTTTCTGCCTTGATAATAACCATAGTGTCTGGGCTTCTCAGAAGAAGACTCTGAACAGCTTTGTGGATATTGAGGGTCCTTCAGATAAAAACATCAATGGGGAAGGGTCTGAAATGCTGGCCCAGAGAAATTACAACGATAATGTTTCTTCCTCCTTCGGTTCTGTCAATGACTTGTGAGATGTACTCAATTTCTTTCACTGAATAGCTCAATGAGCCAACCAAAGGGTAACCATGTTTTTGCCACTGGATGTTGATATTCTCGTCCAAGTCCACAGCAAGTTGGTGTTGAAGGTTTCCAGATTCATGTAGATCCACTGACTTCAGTGCTGATGACAAATAGGCAATCCCAAAATGAAACAAGTATAAAGTTATAAATATCATAAAGACAAAAGAAAAGGTTTGGTGTTTATAATAAGTTAATCATGACTGATTATAGGCTTAAATGAAGGAATAGTTGTGAAAATTATTTGAATAACCCAAAGTGTTCTACAGATAAGAAGTTATATATGCTCCCTTGTAGAATCATGTAGAAGCAAATTGACTGGGGATGGTAATCACTGAAGCAACTTCATTGGAGCATGATGTAGTTAACTTTTTAGGTATTATTTTTGTACATCTTGTGAGCTGTAGATTAAGCTTGAGGATAGAGAAAGTACTAATTAGCGTTTTTACATTTTAAAAAAACCAAGTAAACCTATTTCTCCAAATATTCTAAGTTTCCCTAAGACTGGAATTATATATATGTATGTATGTATGTATGTGTGTGTGTGTGTGTGTGTGTGTATTTAAGATTTTATTCATTTATCAGAGAGAGAGTGAGTGGGCACAAGCAGGAGGAGTGGCAGGCAGAGGGAGAAGCAGGCTCCCCCCTGAGCAGGGAGCCCAATGGGGGACTCCTTCCCAGGACCCTGGGATTATGACCTGAGCCACTCAGGCATCCTTGGAATTATATTCTATACTTTTGTGTTTCCTTTGCATATGGTTAGAATGTTACTGAGCATCTCATCTATAATAGTATTACTATTCATTTGTGAAGGGCTTCATAGTTTACAAAGCATTTATTTAGATATATTCATACACCTCAAATCACACTCCTCTCCCTCTATACACAGACACACACAGACAGACAGACAGACAGACACACACACACACACACACACACACACACACACATACACGTCCTCCTTATCCATTCAGGATACATTCTAAGAGCCCCAGTGGATGTCTGAAAGTGCAGATAGCAATATATATATATATGTGTGTGTGTGTGTGTGTATAGGGTGTATATATATATATATAGGGTGTATATATATATATATATATAGGGTGTGTGTGTGTATATATATATACACACACACACAATGTTTTTTCCTATATATACATACTTATGATAAAGTTTAATTTATAAATCAGGCAAAGTAAGAGATTAACAATGAAAATAAAATAGAAAAATTATAACAATATACTGCAATAAAGTTATGTAAATGTGATCTCTCTCAAAATATCTTCTTGTACTGGACACATCCTTTTTCTGTGATGATGTGAGATGATAAAATGCCTACGTGATGAGATGAAGTGAAGTGAACGATGTAGGCACTGTGACATAGACTGAGGCTACTACTGACCTTCTGACATCCTCAGTTAGGAGGATGATCTGCTTCCAGGCTGTCATTGACAGTAACTCAAACTGTGGAAAGTGAAACCAACTGCTATACACACACACACACACACACACACACACACACACACACTTAATTGTCATGTTGTAGAAAATCAAGAGATGAAATGACCTGCTCAAGATTACACAGCTAGTGACAGAATCTGCACCTCGATTTGAAGTTGCTCCCAATTCTTATGAAAACTGTCTACTCAATCTTAGAACCCATGAAAATATGAGTATAATACGAATAGAATAAAATGAAGTCCTTCCACTTTTCATCCTATAAATTAGGCCTTTATCAGACTATTGGGGCCAGCTGCTTTGTAGTTAGAAGTTCTGAGGAAAATATGTAGAAAAGGATTATTAATGCTTTGTAACAAGTGCAATCTTTGAAGTAAAGGGCTACATTTAAAGTTTTCACCCACAGCATTTGAAAATAGACACTGGAGCATTAGTTGAAGGAAAATGGCAGTATCACTGTCTTCATTCTGCTTCTAATTTACTTCAATTTCCTTTTACAAAGCCTGCTATAAAATTTAACTTTTAAGAAAATGTGCAACAGACATTTTGCTACAATTTAAAAAGTTAGACAAAGAAGGAGGTAACTCATTAAATTCTGTACTTTCTAAAGCCTAAGAGACCCACTGTTATAGAAAGTGATGCTGAAGATTACCATCAGACCCTGAATTTTATAGATGAGGAAACTGAGGTCTGGAGGAGTTCAGAGGTCATAATTTACAACTCTCCCCCTTTTGTTGGGAGTTCTACCTATTTCTTGGAGCCAAGTCCCCTATTTTCTCTTTTTATTGGGAGGATCAGCTGACCTTCTAAGTTTGAGATCACAAGAGTGATATCATGTCAGAAAGGCCATAATGGAGCCACAGAAGGTTCACTATTCTCAGTGATGGCAGCCAGGACCCAGGACCCAGTAGGCAGGCAGTCACAGTTTGCCAGTTAATAGTGCTAAGATCTACTAGTGAATTCTGTATTATTACTGGTGCATCCTTGGTTTAGTAAATAGAGCAACTGGACTAGTATTCTAGCCACTGGATTCCAGCCCCAGCTTGGACATGGGATACAGCTGCAGTAGCTCTTGTTCACTGGGAACTATGTGTTAAGTATTTTATAAGCATTATCTCATTTAGTCTTCATAACCACCACCAGATAATATTATTTGTAGCTGGATGAGGAAAATGAGGCACAGAAAATAAGTAACATGCCAAAGGCCATAGCTTCTAAGTGCACAGTCTATGTACATTAGACAACACAGCCCATGCTTTTAAGTATTATTTCTAACTGATGCAAAGTCATTGTCTTGCTCCTGGAAGCTCTCTTTTCATGTAATGATAATAGGGATGATAGGTTACACCAAAGAGGACTCACCTATGTAACAAACAATTCTAAAGGCATTGTATATATTACTTCATTTTACCAGGTGGGTACTATTTTCATCTCAGTTTTACAGATGAAGAAACTTAGAGGGACAGCAGTCATGTAACTTGCCCAAGATTACTCAGATAGGACATGGAGAAGCCAGATTTTGCTCGCAGGGCATCTGGATCTAGAATTCACACCCTTAATCATCATGCCAACTGTAGAAAATGACAATATAAAATTTTACATTATTTTCAGCTCTTTCAATGATTTTGTGAGCATGCTGGCTACATACTGAGGTATGCATTGGGATAGGGATGTAATAAACCTTTCCTACACATGCTCCCTTCCAGTCAGATGAATGTATTTTTTTAAAGGAAAGACAATGACGTCTTGAAAAGTTTTGGTGATTAAGAAATATGAAGAAGAGGAGGGCGGAGCAAGATGGCGGAGGAGTAGGAGACCTGGATTTCCTCTGGTCTCAGGAATTCAGCTGGATAGGGATCAAACCATTCTGAACACCTACAAACTCAACAGGAGAT